CCTCGTTGTGTGTGTGTGTGTGTGTGTGTGTGTGTGTGTGTGTCATAGCGTTACCACTAGAACGTAAGCTCCGTGACAGAAAGGGCTTTAAATTACCTTGTTCACTGCTGAATCCCCAGCCCAGAATAGCACCTAGTGCCTGGTAGACCTTCAGTGTCTATTGAATGAAGGAATAAAACTTGAGATAGCAAATCTGCTGCTTCTGAACAAATCAATTTCCTACATTAGTATAGTCATTCTAATACTGCAACTATAGAATTTAACTGAATTTTGCCAAAGTCAAGTGGTAAGTGTAACCTAAGTATTCTGAACCTAAGATAACAAATATACTAGAAACTAAATTTAAAATCTGTCATTTCTAAAATGGGCAGACTTCCTTATTCACATTTTACTGCATAGTAAATTATTAACAAAATTATTTTAATAGTTATTTAAAGTAATTAAGATAATTTTTTAAGGAAGTGTTGACCTTATTAACGATTAATACACCATGAACCATACTCATTTAGTGATTGAAGTAAATACCTTGTTAGCTTCACTTATACCTATGTTTGTACCTGAAAGAAAACATGGTTTTCTGTAAATTACACTGACCTCTTTTGAATTAAATTGTTATGTTTGTAATTGATGTTGACATCCCTCAAGAAATCAACAGATAGTGTAAGATTATGTTTCTCTAAGAATTAAAATCTGTATGCAACTTGACATTTTTATATTCATCTTTTGCTAAACACATTATTGTATATTATATTAGGTCTAAAGGGTGTCCCTTGTTGTGAGTCAGGGTTTTTATGAAAGAAACATATTTCTTTAAATCTAGGAGATGTTATCCCTCTTTCCCTTATGACTGTGCTATTCATTCCAAACTAAAAAAACCACAAATAGACTTGAATTTAGATCTCTTTGATCAAAGCAATTTGGTTACAATTTCCTTGAAAGATTCTGAATGTTAGTTCAGACTTACAAGTTTCAGAATGTTAAGGAAGGGGGAAAAACTTGAATATTTACTGCAAACCAAACACTACTCTTGGCATTTTTCTCCTTTAATTTCCATAGCAGTTCTGTTATGTAGGCTCACTTTGAGGCTTTGGGAGGTGACGTACATATTAAGGTCACTCAAGTAAGTGATAAAGTAGGGGTTGAATCCAGATCTGAGTTTTGCTATACACCCTGCTTCATCAAAGTGACTGTTGAACTGGCTTTGTAAATTAATTTGTCACTGGCAAATTAGTGAAAACTATTGGCTTCTTAAACGTAATAGCCATGGACAAGTTAGGAAATTTATCGTTAAAATCAGTTAAGAGGGCTGTGCTTTGAGTCCCTACTAACTACAAAGCTTTGAACAATCCCTTACTTTTTCACTTGTCAGTGGCAAATTATTCTTTTAAAATCTTGTCATTGGTCTCTTTCTCTTAAACTTAACACCAATAGTTCTAAAAATGCAGCTGTGTCAATTAATCATTAACACTTGAGTCGGAAAGGGAGTGAGAGACTGAACTTTTAAAATTATCCTAAAATTCTGCATGTGCAGCTCTTATCATTCAGGTCTCTGTAACTTGACAGTAAGGTATCTCGTCATCACGTGTTTATCTCTACAGTGACCCTGCCATGAAGCAGTTTCTGCTGTACTTGGATGAGTCAAATGCCCTAGGGAAGAAGTTCATCATTCAAGACATTGATGACACTCACGTCTTCGTAATAGCAGAGTTGGTTAATGTCCTCCAAGAGCGAGTAGGTGAATTAATGGACCAAAATGCCTTTTCTCTTACCCAGAAGTGAAAATACTGGATATTGACCACTTGGGAATTAAAAGTAACAAATGTGAGAGACTCCTCATTCAGTATCTTATGTGACTGGTTAGATTTATAGAATTGCTTGAAAACCTGTGACAGGAAAGACTGCAGTATCATTTGTTTGTTAAAAAAAAAAAAAAAGCCCTTGAACTGACTTTCCTGTTCTGTTTTTTTCAGTACATGTACCCTAGAATTAAAAAAAAAAAGGAAAAAAGCTTAACAGTTGGCTGTAATTTGTCTTTTATTATCCTTTATTAAAAATGTAAATGTAATTGGTTTTCCTACCTTTTTAATGCCAATTTAATACATTAAGAGTATAATAGAATATACTTTTAAATCATCAATTTATCCTGGATATTTATTTTGCTTTGTTCCTATTAGTAATTGGGGGCGTTTGTAGCGTGGGCATGATTGGTTTTGTTTCTACTGGAAATTTCACAGGTAGGCTATTTAGATAAATATGCCAAGCTGGGAACTTTAGTAATATTTATGTCTTACAAATAATATCTTCACACCAGCCAGCTCTGTTGGTGAAGAAGATGTGGAAGAGAACTATGCAACATTAACGCAAACTGCAGTTTGCATTTCCCTAAAAATGCAGAGTTAGAAACAACCGAAGGGGGAAGGCACGTGCCGCTCTTCAGCTTTCGTCTTTCCTTGTCCTGACTTTGTTGGTCACATTTTCCCATAAAGACAGGTGTTCTTTTATTAAGAAATCAGTGTTACTTGGGCCTTATTCCCTGTAAGAATCCCTGTTTAAGCATATCAAAAAAAGGAAGGTGGTGGGGTAGGGTATAGTTCAGTGGGTGGTACCTCTATTATGAAGAAAGAAAGAGAAGGAGAGAAAGAAACCTAATTATCCCCCCCCCAAAAAATTAAATAAATACTTTTTTTTTTAAAGGGAAGAGATAGAAGGAAGTCAGTCTTGGGGGAAGGTGGCGTGGTTCGGCTAGGATATGTTGCACATAGTTCTATGGTTAATGAGAAGCAGAACAGTAAAACTGCTGGGGGCCTTGCTTCTCTTCCTAAAGATAGTGTTACTAGGGTGGGTTCCTGTGGTGGGAGTTTTCCAAGAGAAAAGAGAACTTTCATGATGTTATGTGGAATCTTACCAAACCCGCTGTACCCACCTCCTCATGGTATGTTATTCAGAGCGCCTGTGTACAGTGTTCACTTACACATGCATTCCTGAAGCTGGAAGTTTCCTCAGTTACGTATATTTACCATGATTCCTAGCCATATAATTCAAACCACACAATTTTGATTTTCACATAACACTGCAAGTAATTTTGATGAATTATTGGTATGTCTGGTACTAAAACTTGTTGAATAAAGTACATTTCTTTAGGATTTCCAACTATACTGAAATGTTATTACCTTTGTATTTCAGGCATGTCTAAATTGATTTCTAATATGTCCTTGTCACCTAATACCTTTTAACATGAAACTTAGAGAAAATTTTTCTCACAATCCCCATAGTTTAAAATGTGCGGGAAAGACTGTTGGACAGTGACTGCAGAGTGATAAGTGAAGGAAAATCTTTATTTCATTGGCTCTTTTCTTCTGTTAAAAGTTGAGTTATGGCAAATGTTCAGTATCTTTCTCTGGACACTGCGTTAGAAAGATGGGACAGTGTGATGCTAGGTGTCCCACTTGCAGCCACTTAGTTTAAGTTAACTTGTCCAACTGTGAGCAAAACTAGGAGAGAGCAGGAAGTATCCAAGTGGCCTTTTACCCACTCTGCCTGGAATATGATGGATGTTCTTTGATTCGGTACTCTTTAGAAGTCTAGAGCAAGAGATGTTGGCTGCTGGGTACTGGAGAAATTTACTACTGTCTTTTTATTTTTAACAAAGTCCTAAGAATTGTAAAAGTGGTATTAAGTTAAATTTTCCTAACTGCATAAAAATATTTTAATTTATAAAAGATTCTTGACTAGTCACAGGTATTTATATACTAAACTTGTGATATTTTAAGAATTATACTAACTTCTTGAGAAAGGTTTTTTTTAAATACTCTATCAGTTCAAAAATACTGAATTCCTACTCAGCCATAAAAACCGACAACATTAACGCCATTTGCAGCAACATAGATGCTCCTGGAGAATGTCATTCTAAGTGAAGTAAGCCAGAAAGAGAAAGAAAAATACCATATGAGACCACTCATATGTGGAATCTAAAAAACAAACAACAACAAAAAAAGCATAAATACAAAACAGAAATAGACTCATAGAATACAAACTTGTGGTTGCCAAGGGGGCGGAGGGTGGGAAGGGATAGACAGGATTTCAAAATTGTAGAATAGATAAACAAGATTATACTGTAGAGCACAGGGGAACATACACAAAATCTTATGGTAGCTCACAGAGAAAAAAATGTGACAATGAATATATATATGTTCACATATAACTGAAAAATTGTGCTCTACACTGGAATTTGACACAACATTGTAAAATGATTATAAATCAATAAAAAATGTTAAAAAAAAAAGCTGAATTCCTTGAACTCCAATTTCCTTGTGAAATTTAGTGTGATTTTTTTAAAATTCTGGGCATCCTAAGGCATCATCGTTAAAGTAAAAATGTACATTGAGAAATCAGTTTTGGTGAACATTAACTGAGCATCACTGATAATAGGCAACAAAGACTACTCTCCTTTGTTTCTGATAAACACTGTAGGTGGTAATCCAAATTACTGATAATATTACTCTGGACAGTTGCTGTAATAGGCGTGATTTGACATAATTGTACTCGATTTCTGAAAAGATGGTATATATGTACTTATTCTATTTTCTACTTACACATTGAACCTCCTTTAGTTCTAAAGAAACTAAATAAAAATTCTAACATAATGCCTTCTGATTTAACTAGAATACTGAGATCATTCCATCAACCACCTCAACAAATAGGAAAAGGGTATGTTTTAGAGATAAATGATGCAGTTTGCAAATACAGTCAGTGAATACTCTCAGGTGTGCATAGCTCTGCTTCATTTACAGCAGAGACAACACTGAAAGGTCTATTGGTGAGATTATCGAATAAGCCTTTGAAAAACACTGTTCTCACTATAGAAAAGTGATTAAGAGCACTGACTGGATCCAAACGGCCTGGGTCCCAATGTCAGCTCCCTGCTTACTAGCTCTGGGATCTTGTACATGTCAGTGAGTTTCTCTGTGCCTCTGAGCCCCAGTCTATGGAAACAAGAATAACTGTCGTCAAAATCTTTGGATGATTGTAAGTTAAGATTTGGAAAGCAGATGGTTCTGAACTTTAGTTGCCTTGACTCTATAAGAGCATGATGAAAAGGGGAAAAAAGACCTTTCACCACACACACGATTTGTTTTGCACGATCACAATTCAGTGAGAACACGCAGTTGGGAGGAGGGGAATTCCTTGTAAAAGAATATTGGAGAGAGTTTAACAGGGACCCTTTACCTTCACTGATACAAAACTTGTCTCTGAGCAACTTTGTCCGGAAATATCTGAATAGTTAACTTTTCTGAGACCATTCCTGTCTTTGACTTCACTCTTGAATGGTGATTAGTCTTACATAGAATTCCTGGGTCACAGTCCATTTCTGTTAAAACTGGGCCATTTTCCTCATTGTCCTCAGACATTTACTGACAGAGTCCAGTTTAGATTTTGTTCATTTGAATAATTCTTTTCATCTTGGACTGCAAGAGTTTCTTTGAACTCATCTCTCTTTCTTACCCTATTTTTCTAGCTGATTTTCATTTTAATTCCTCCCTCTTTGGGGGGGATGTTCCTCTATGCTGTTTATTTCTTTGAAATTTTAAATCTTAGCCAAGGTGTATATCCCTTGTTAATTTTACCTGGAATATATATATCTTTCTGATCTCTCAAAATTCAGGTGGTTTGTTTATTTGCTTTGTGGAGGATTTCTGCTTAAGTTTTTAAATAAACAGACTTCCTTTTATAACTTTCATGCCTCTGTTTTCTTTAGAAATACCTATTTATTAATTGATTCTTCATGATTAATACTTTTTAATACTAATTGCTTTTTAAAATTTATTTATTTATATATTTCCTTGGTGGGGGAGGTAATTAGGTTTACTTATTTATTTTAGAGGCGGTACTGGGGGTTGAACCCAGGACTTCGTGCATGCTAAGCATGAACTCTACCACTTAAGCTATACCCTCCCCCCTTTCATTGCTTTTTAAATTCTCTGTTCCAGGAATAAAATAACTCTTTTAAATTTGTCACTAAACTTGATTTACTTTAATGAGAACCTGCTTCCTACTGCCTCCAACTTGGACTTTATCTTGGCTGCTGCATTTTTGGTTACATTGCACTGTTTAGGCTATTCCTTGTCAGAAGCCTGTTTTTGTTTAATGAAGGTAAAGTCAACTGGTATCTATTCCTAATTGAAGTTACCTTTTTTATGAACATACACATTCACTACAGGTAGACTGGAAAAAGGAAGCAAAAGGGAAAAATGTAACTCATCCACAATCCCACCACTCTGGAATAACCACAATTAAAATTTTGATGACAACCTTCAAACCTTTTTCTAAGAATATTAAAAAACAATCTCCACTCTCCTATCCCAGTGAGATCACACTGCTTTGACACTTGCTTTTTCACTTAATCTTTCATGATCTTTTGTTTATTAAAAACGTGCTTACATGATCTTTTGTTTATTAAAATCATGAAGTAGCACTTCTGTTACAGAGGAAAGGTTTTCTTCTGCTCTCTTGAGTACATTAGAATTACATGGGGAACTTTCAAAAAATGTTGATGCCTATCCTCAGTGGCCCCCTCCCATATTCAGATTTAATTGTTCTGGCAGGGGACCCAAGTGTCAGCATTTTTAAAAGGCTTCCCTCGGTGGTGTTTCTAACGTGTAGTCAGAGCCGAGGACCCCTGGCCAGTGTGTGCAGCAGAGAATGGGGTCGGAGGCTTTGTTTTTGTCTCGTTTGGTTTTCAGTAGGCTAATCGACCAGCACAGCTGTTTCCTTTTACTGCCAAGGAAATGGCTGAGCCTGTCCAACCTGGAACCAGCTTTTGTTAAAATCCACTAATTAGATAAATGATTCCCAGAGTACACGCAAAATCTTATTATTATGGTAGTTACCTTGGTTTAGATCCTTTGGTTGGATTGGGGAAAGTAAATGCAGCATTCTTGATTGGTTAAATATAAATTCACTGTAAGATATTTTAGTCATTTGTTTATTTACTATTTACGTGTGACAGAATTTTTTAGTGAAACAGTATTAAGCTATGTCAATACAGCAGTTCTTAGGAAGGGTCTTGCTGAGGGGGACATCCAGTGTTCAGTGTTAACTTGTTTACATCATTATAATAGTCACTCCTCTGTCTC